GGAAAAACTGTGTGCAAGGAAAATGTGCCACATCATGGCCATTTGGTCGGTCACTCGTTTTGGGGAGCAGGCAGCAGGCAGCAAGCAGCACCGAGAGCAACAGGGGTTGCCTTTCGGTACGGAATTGCCAGGATAATGGCTCCGCTCAGCTCCGTGGAGGGCAGGGCAACGACTAACCCGCGGATTAGACCAAAATGCACGCACATCCAACGAGACAGAGACATGAGACTGCATGCGTGTATTAGATCCTTGCCACGGATGCCGCGACACGTGCTGCGGCGCACAAGAATCGGGATTATGGGGAGAGGAATTTCCTCAAGAGGGGGGAGTGACATGACCCAAATTTCGATTCTGGCGAAAGGAAATGATGGAGCCATATTCCAATTCCAAGAATTCCCCACCGAAAAGATGATTCCACATAAAGCCATAACTCACTTCGATCAGATCGATTAATAAACCGAGTTCACGGAACGCTCTCGCTGCTCTCTATGCTCCCTGCTCGGCCCAATGAAAAACCCCCAATAAATCGAAAGGAAAGTTCTTGGGAAAATTGATTTGAAATATTATTTCAACAGAAGGTGGAACTTTTTGTAATTAATTTGGCAATCATCGAACAGCATTTGGAGGAAACCACCACCGAACCACTGCCACCGCCGCCACACCACCAGACAGCAGACGGCAGACGGCAGACAGCAGAAAACCCAACCCACTCGAAATCCCCGTGGAATCTAAGAATTACAGTCCATGGCAATGGAAATGGAAATGAATATGGACCTGGATCTGGACGATCATCGACTTCTTCGTCACGGCATCAACTATAGAACATTATTAAGTGATCTTTTGCGGTGTGATGCTTTTGTTTGCTTACCTTTCCGCGATTCGCCGATTGAAATAAACTCTCGTGCAATCCTCCGAAAATAGACCAGACTCTCACTGGATACTGCGAGTGATGCGGTGTGGCTGTTGCCTGGCTGGCACCCACAAGTGCAAATACAATCAAAATATTCGGTGGAGCACACGACCCGGCGAATGACGTCACAGTCACTGTGCACACGGGGGGATGAGGGATGGGGGACGGGGATCGTGGATCGTGGGCGTGCGCCTCTTTTGGTGGTGGCTGGCGCTAACGTCATCAAATGATCATCTATCTATTTATCTATCTATCTTTCGATATATGTATATTTCGTGTGCGTGATCTTGTTTGGGGGTTTTTCGTTGTTGTTGGCTAAACTGCATCACTGTGGGCATCACTGTGGGCATCACTGTGGGCATCATTGAGGCGTCAGTGGCGTCAGTGGCGTCATGGAGACCCCCACAAAACCCATAGATCGCTCAACGAGTCAATGGATCGATGGATCCCTCTGGATGGGATGTCTGTCTCACACTCGCACGCGGTGGGAGGTCGACAGATTCCGATTCCAACGAAATATAATTTCAAGTGCAGAATCGCGATCATTGCCTGGCAATTGATTGACTGGCAAACTTCTTCCCCCATCCCCCATCCCCCGTCCCTCATAACCATACCCCATACCCATTCCCATCCTCTTCTGTGGCTGCTCTTCTTGTGGCTTTATTTATTTGTATTTAACGGGAATTGCGCCTTGTTTTTGCGCCAAACGCCCCCACAACTCACTCCCGACGGTGGCGGTGGCGGTGGCGGTAAAAAAAAAGTGAAAAGTCCAGCAGTCCCAGTCCCAATAGCAGTCCGTGTATGCCCTCAGCACTAAATTCAAGTAAAAGACTAAGAAATACACAGCACATATCTTCTTATCCGGTAATTCCTTTATGGTCTCCTCTCCCGTTTGATGTTCGTTTGGGGGAACTTCTTCGATGGATATATATGCTATAGGTATGTATATTCCGATCTAATGATGAAATAGATTAGATTTTTCTTTGTAGAATTGATGGATAAACACGAACGAGCGTGTTCGTCCTTCCCAAGTGATAGCTGATGTGCGCAGTACAATGCGATCGTTATCCATATTACATGTGGATCCGATTTCCCTATAGAGCCACCCAGTGATGACGGAAGACATCAACGGGTGCTTTTCGGCTGACCTTTTGACCATCCAGAATCGATCGAAGTGATGAGGTGAGGTCTCAGCGCTTCTTCCTGCTCACCTCGGTCCCATTTCGGCCACCAATCGATGCCTCCATCGGTGGCTGGGGATTATTGCTGCCTGATTGTTGATACGCAAAAGTGCCCCCGCCTCCATATCACATGGTAGCCGCATCACCCAACGCTCCTCCATCACTCCTGATTGACGTCCACAAAACTTTATTAAAATCACGTTAATTGGCATTTCGATACTTTCAACAATTTCATAAAATTTAACGCCTATCATGTGTCTGTGTGGCTGGCTTGGACCTCCATTGTTTGTTTTCATAAACAGCGATAACTTATTATTGAATATGTATTTTTGAATTATTAAGTTTTGGCGATTTGGCGATTTGGCCAGGAATTCTCGTGACGCAAGGTAGTAAATTCTCACCATCCCAGCAGTCGATGGCCTGCGAACAAACGATTCCCATATGCATAAGGAACTGACTTGGAATTGTATGGCATCCAAGAGATGCAGTGTAGGTGGACCCTATTCGAGGGAGGAGAAGGAGCTCTCCCCCAAGAGAGGAGCATTTCATTCAGCATTTCGCTCTTGTCTGCCAGCGAGCGAGTGCAAACACACAAATCAATGAATCGAATCTTCGCACCTCGTGCCGTGCCGTACCGTGCAATGACTACAAAAACAAACCACCCAAGTACCTGGATATATGTATGTATATTTTGGAACAAACAGTTCTTTATCATCAGAGATGAATGAATTGGCCCGGTAAATATAAAATAATGGGTGGTTGTAAACTATTAAATCATTCAAACGTTTCTTAAATGGCCTTGTGGTAGCGTCCATGAGTGGGAAATTATCCAAAATTTATGGTACATTTTATTTAAATTGTATATAGGACTTGATCATTTTCAAAAGGGTAGATTTATTTATCATCCAAATTGTTGAGCAGAAAAAAACAGTCTTCAAATTTGAATTGAACTAATTCTGCTACATGGCAACTACATAAACAGAGACACCTGTCGAGAAAAAATACAAGCTGCGCCTATACATGATTTCTACATAAATTCCACGTGAATTTATTGGCGCCACTGTGAGGTTATATTTTGCCAGTTTCATCAATCTATTAAATTTCATTTTCAACGTTATATAGAAATCCGATAAAAGCAAGTATTTAGAATAGGCCAGTCAAGTAGAAAATGTATACATTAATGGCGTAAAATTATCTGGGTTGAGCTTAATGTTCTATATAGCTAGTAATATTCGACGGAATAAAGAATTGAGCAATTGGAACGATGCTACTGTTGTATGAGCAAAAGTGCCTTGTGCGTCTGCCTACAGTGGCTTCAAATGACAGTAAGTCCTGATGTCACAGGGCACTCCCCAAAAACAGCCGCTGTTCCACGGCTATTCCGTGCTTTCCACATTCTTCGCATTTACAGTTAAAGGCGAGCCACAGAGTCTGCAGTTGCGATGCCGAAACGACCAGCGGCACCCTTTGGCGCTGTTGTGGCCCCACCGCACCACGATGGACGAATCCGAGCTACAATCATGGCCGGGAGCTCATATTCGACCAGGAGACGAGACGCCTCTACTGGATGGCAACAAGTGTCGGTACTGGTTGGCAGCTAGGACGACGGGTACTGGAGTGAATGGAGCACCGGGGACATACGGCGGTATCCGACCTGTGGGCCAGATCATTTCACGGCCTCAGTGTCGGGAAATGGTGACATGAATAAGGGCTGCATACCCGCCTCCTGGCGCTGTGACGGCCAAAAGGACTACCCGGACAAGTCGGATGAGGTGGACTGTCCCACATGCCGGATGGATCAGTTCAGCTGCCAGTCCGGCGAGTGCTTCGACATGGCTCTGGTCTGCGATGGTACCACCAACTGTCACAACGGCCACGATGAGGTCGACTTAAGCTAACAATATCCTACCCACCTTCCCACAGCTTTGCATACCGGCCCCCCTACTTTGCAATGGCTGGGAACTGTGCCGATGCATGGCGGCGCATGGCCTGCCTCGGATATCCCTGTGCACCGAGCCAAAGAATCGATCTGTAATGGCTCCATCGAAGAAATTAAATAAGGCAGTAGGCAGTAAGCATAGCCAAAAATAACAGTAAATCATTGCATACTGATATTCTCCTCGCAGGGGAGCCGTCAAGCACTCCCTTTTAAAGACTTTTAAAATGCGATAGAAAACCTGCTGGACATTGCATTTAAGGTGCAACGCGAACAAGCTGCGAATGAAGATGGAGCGAAAAGTCTCTGGACGAGTGTGCCAGGTTTCAACCTACCACAATAATAGCAAGGACAGTTAATTAGAAAATAGGATTCCAAAGGCATGAGCCTGATAGTTTAGCATATTGAATTATCCTTTATCTTTGTTAAGATATTCCATCTTTAACCTTTATACTTTTTAGCGCCAAACAGGCCCCGTGGTTAATCAAATACTTATCTTATCATTGCAGGAAAACCAAACATATGTATTTTTATATTTGGCAGTCGAATCGACCTATCAACTAGCTAACAAGCAAACACTTCAATTGATTGCGATTGCCAAAAATATTTGCCCACAAAAGTGTATTGTATGGCTGTAAAAATAAATAGATAATAACAAATAAAAGTACTATTTTTCAGAAGAGATGGAGCCGTTCAACGGCAACCTGTGGCTCGGAGAGAGTATCCACAAGCGGCTGAGCTCTCTGCTTCTCTCCAGAGTAATCGATTTTTCCACTCGGCAAAGCCCAGCGGAACGCGACGGAGCGACCCCCAACGGAATGGAACGGAACAAAACGTGTGGAGAGACATGCACAGCGAGAGAGAGAGAGAGAAAGAGAACGAGAGGGAGAGCAGCTGGTGGAGCTGCGGGTCGGGTTGTTGGGGCTTTATCAAAAGCAAACCAAAACATTCTGAAACTGAACGCGAGCGCAGTTTGTTGTGAATCCATTTGCGTGCCGTAGTCGCCTTGCCTGGGTCGTAATTACGTGGTCAGCTGAGCCCCGAGTCTCAGTGCCGCCTCCATCTAGTCTGTGGCCCCCAATCCCCAAAAAAACAAAACAATATAAAATACTTAATAATTGCGTTGGGAAATGTGCGGCTAAATGGCAACGTAATCAACGTGCAACGGCAGCCAAAAACAAACGTCTAAATAATAGTAGAAAGTTTTTTTTATTGTTAAGCAAAGCTCTAGCTCTGCTCTGCTCCGCGAAGCAGCTGCCAAAAATCGAAATAGCCAAAGCATCCATCCACCGGACGGACTCCATCACTTCCACGACTTGCGTTTTTGCGTGTGAAACCGAGAAAAAGAAATTCGCGCTTTTGCCTTTCGTCTGCCCCCTTCTCCGTCACTTTTTTGCATGTGTGTTGGTGTGCTGCTGCTGTGTATCTGTGCGAAGAGCAATCCAGTCGATAAACTCCCCATCAACCCATAAAAGATACGCAACAATATTAGTAGGAGAAATAACAATAACCGTAACAAAATCATGTCCGGCCCATTGCCCGAAATCAGCGCCGAACAGCGCGCCACACTGGAACAGGTGAGAGGAATAACGGGATCCGAGCTAACTATCTATCTATCTATGTATCTTTTGGGGAAGAAGATGTAGCACTCATCTCTTGGGGGAAGATAAGAATGATGTATTTGTTGTTGATTTAAGATAAAATTCCAGGGGAGGGGAGACTTTTGCAATCGAATGCGAGGCATAGAAGATTGTAGATATTTAGATCAAAGAGACTTTCCAACGATCCCCATGTATTGGTGCCCCACTATACACTTGTGTGTATGTATGTATGTATGTATCTGTGGAATAATTTAGATATTCCCATTCGGCCAATGATGTGTGTGCGTGGCACACACACCTCACTGACTAGAATAATTTCGAGTCTAGGGAATAATTTAGTAGTTCTACCTACACTTATGATGTAAGACCACTTGATTGATTATGTTCTAGATTGCGTAGAATAGCCAGTGGAGCGTGATAACAGCCCTATGGAAATTAGCCTGCGTTTTGCATGACTTCCTCTTCGATTTACTGCCTAATCTGACCGTTCTTGCCCCACTGTGGCAATACGAGTAGAGTAGCCGCCACAACAGCAGCAGCAGAAACAGCAACAGCAACAGCAACAACTTGTTCTGGCCATTGCTCCGATGTGGAGGTGGGGTCTGGTCTGCAGTTGCACATGTGTCGACTCATGAGTTCTTGGCGGCTGGCTGCCTGGCTGCCGGGCTGCCTGGCTGGCACATGAAAACAGCTTGCGAAATCGAAATGGAAACCGCTGTTGCTGTTGTTGTTGTTGTTGTTGTTGTTGTTGTGGTTGTTGTTGACAAGTAAACGACGACCCAGAATACAATTTGAATAGCATAGCCCCAAAAGTGGGTAAAATGCATCGAACCGGTTGCCAGCCGCAGCAGCTGGAGCTTCTATATCGCTTCTTTCGGGGCATGCCCCTGCTGCCAGAACCGTTTCCCAGATCAAACCTCTGCCCTCTTATAATTGCTTTGAGTGCGATTGTCATTTGTCATGGCGCAGTGACGGCGATTATAGGCTTTATAAATAAACATGAGTTGTCGAATCATCAAATATACAGATGTACATATGTATGTACAATATATATGAACAGCTAAGTGGAGAGCAATAATCCAGAACGACAGCTCATCCCCTTGCAACCGGAGTGAACCTTAAACCCCCGCCGACCCTCTTATCGCACAGCCTCAGCCTCAGATATATATATATATATTTTGATGCGTTATGCATAAACCAGCAGAGCAACAGGTTTCATCCGACTAGAAAACGAACACAAAAGAAGAGAAACTTTATGGAGAGTTATGAGAAGTGGAAGCCACGGGAGGAGAGATCTCTCATTAAATCCCTCATTGACTTATCCTGAAGCGTTAAGCGTTGAATTCAAAGGCAAACAACAGTCGCTGCATTCGCGATTTGCCAATCGGCGATCGCTTATAGACATTATTCATGTTGATTCATCAATTATTCATGGGCTCCGTTTCGCCCTAGACATGCCAAATATAGAGTCCACTTTCGATGGCTTATCGAACGAAATGTTTACCTGATGGCGCTGCTGCTGCTGCTGCTCCAAAACTGAGTCAAAGTCAGAGGCAGAAGCAGAAGCAGAAGCAGGAGAACAAAGCGCAGTACCCGATAGGCAAGTACAAGAGCCCCAACTGGCCCGTCTGCTGGCTGCTGACTGCTGGCTGCTGACTGTTGACTGTTTAGATATGAGGAAGTCAAGACAAACCGCACAGAATTCGACGCTAATGAAAAACTAAGCTAGCCATCACCCGGGGGCCAGTCGGACAGTCGGCCAGTTGGCCATTCCGCGCACCACTACAGCCTTCTCCACAAATAATAATAAAAGCCAAACAACCAGGTTTTTAGTTGCTCTACGAAAAGCGAAAACCCACAAATAAAAGAAGCGGTTAGCGGTTAGCGGTTAGCGGACGGACGCAAGACGGCCTCGTTATTGAATTTCAAGTGGTTTGGCCCAGAGCCAGAGCCCGAGCCCGAGCCGAGCTTGAATTGGGATGGGGAAGGGGAGGCGGACAGGGACGGGGATTAGGTGGGAATGAATCAGCTATTACTAAACCAGCCAGACACGAGTCAGTTTAACAATTATAAATTGTGTTAAATATGCACTGAGCGAATGCAAATCGAAGTACGTGATTGGAGTATCAAGACAATCAGATTTGTATGTGTCGAGTCAACAAGGAAAACCTGTAAGTAGAATCGAGTAGAATGCGGGCCTCATTTAAATTTCGCATGAACTTTTGTTAGCAAACAGCCAATGTGCCATTCGGACAAGGCCAACACAAATTAACAGCAATTAATGCAGCAAAGGCCAACATTCGTTTAGGTGGCTTTTTAGACCACAATAAAACTTATCGCCTGCGATGGAGATAGGAAAAGCCCCGATTAAACTTCATTGAACTGCTGCACCCAGTCCCAGTCTCTTGCAAGGCCTTCGACAAGCCAATCAATACAGAAATGCCATGGATTTGGATTTTGCTAGATTACACATGCAGGTGTCTGCGCGAGCTTGTTGTTGAGAAGGCGGCCAGCACGGAAATAGAACAAAATCCATTTGTAGGGCAGGAGAAAAGAGAAACATCTATTTTTGTAGTGCTGGCATTCCCAGGGAATTGTCAATCCCATATTGTCTAGTGGTTAGGATACCCGGCTCTCACCCGGGAGGCCCGGGTTCAATTCCCGGTATGGGAAAACCGTCAAAGGTTTCTTTTTTTTCGCTGAGCAAGGACCTTGCCAAGAGAAGCTCCTTTTGATGTGCGGAACCTGATTATATTCTAATTTTAGGGATAGAAAATAGAGAAACAAATTTTTTGTAATGATAGAATCAATCCCACACTTTTTAGTCCTTGATGAGAAAAAGGAACAAGCAAAACGAAACTTAATGGTCCTCACTCAGGACATCGAAGAACCTCGACCATAGGATTGTAGGTTTGGATCGCAAAAGCGGAACCAAGAATTTTCCAAGTCGGAAGAGCAATACCCAAAGTGATAGCACTTACAACTTTAAAATGGAGAAAAATACCAGTATTGTCCTACAAGACGGGCAGATTTACTGCACAAGACCTCTCCATCGCGGGACGACGAAACACACCCATATTGGCCAACAAATAGCGGAGAAAACTATATACATATGTATTACGAGAAGGCAAATATAATAAATATATATTATAATTAATTATAATATTAATAATAATACAAAATAAATGAAAATTGTAAAAAGATTGGATTTTTACTGTGTACATATGTACATCATGGCAAACTCTCGGGCTGGGCGGATGGGTGTTTGATTTTCCTTGAGGCCAAAAGGTCGGGGATATTCTCGCGATCACGAAAATGTTTGGCTCGTCCAGATCGGACGATTTGTTTAAAAATGTATTATAAAATAGCCTTGGGAGACATTCTCCCGATTACGAGGAGGCGCGGCACGCCCTGATCGGACATCAAACGGACTATTTGCGAGGATGTAACCATCTAGATTTTTAACAAAAACATGTCAATCGATAGGCAGGACTCTCCCGATCACAAAAAGGCATGCCACGCCCAGATCGGCCCATAAACAGTCGAGATATAGCGTACAGATGAAACCAGTATTTCCACGATGTGCAAATTCCAATCTTTGGAAGGCTATATCTCGGGCAAATAGAGCCAGATCGGTGAAGGACCTAGTCTCCCAGGATCGAGAGGATCCAGACAGTCGAACGGCATCAAAATCTCGACTTTGAAAATGAGGCCGATTTTTGGCAAATTTAATGATGGTTACATCATGATTTTTGCCGAAAATCGTGAGGACATGGATGTCCTTTTTTCTGATGCCAATCGATTGGCAGGACTCTTCCGATCACAAAAAGGCATGCCACGCCCTGATCGGCCCATAAACAGTCGAGATATAGCCAAAGAAAAAATGACAATTAAGGCCGACGTGAAGAGCGAAAACAAAGAAATTTCCAATCGAAGTACCAGGCGAACAGAAATCAGCAGAAAGCAACTTTAGCAAATGAAAAAACTGGTGCATACTTTTGGGGGCATGCAAATTTTTCCAAAAAAACCCAGCTACCTTCTGCTGATTTCTGTTCGCCTGGTATCCCAGGTCTGAAATTCTCGTTTTTGGCCATTTCCGCGGACGCAATTTGAGGGTTGTTGTTGTACCCGCAACTCCTTTATTTGTGGACCGATCCCGGCGAGCGACGGCTTCCTGTGACCGGAACAAAATCCTTGATTTTATGGAGTCCTTATCAAGGATCAGGGATCAAGGATATCTCCTCTTGTCATATACATCTTGTTTTCTCCGTTATTTGGGGCCAGAACGGGACGTTCGATGGCTTCCTTCGATTGGAAAAATATCCTTGATCCTTGCATAAGGACTACAACATCCCCAAGGATCAAGGATATTTTCCCAGTCGTAAATATTTCCGTTTCTTGTCTATTTGTGATTGCAAAATATCCTTGATGAAGTCCTTTATCAAGGATCAAGGATATTTTTCCCAGATTTCCCAGATAGAAAAAAACAAAGCATAAATTGTTGATAAAGTTTTTATTATATTCAAGGAGAATAACAGATAGGACTCCATATTTTGTATTTTATTCATCCTGTATGAGACCTGATTCCTGATCCTCTTATCGTTTCCTCCTATTACAGTTCCGCAAGCAGATGGACGATGCTCTCGTCGACACCCACGATGATTACTTCCTACTGCGCTGGCTGAGAGGTGAGTTTGCCCAAGAGAATCCTTGTTAGAGATGCTTGCTTACCATCCAAAACTCTCTCCCGAACAGCTCGCAAATGGAACCTGGAGGCAGCAGAGAAAATGCTGAGAGCTGTAAGCACAAAAATATGGCTTTCTTACTTCAATTCGATTGTTATAATTATAATTACTATTACTTACATCTGTGCAGAGTCTGAAGACGCGGGCCATGTGGAATGTGGACAACATCGACAAGTGGGATCCTCCCAAGGCACTGAAGGAGTATTTGCCGTATGGCCTGATAGGCTACGACAACGAAGGATCTCCATGTAGGTGCCTGTTTTTAATCTATGTAAAGCTAGCTGAAGCTGAGGCCTCTCGCTTTCTCCTTTCAGTGCTGGTTTGTCCCTTTTACAACTTTGACATCTGGGGCATGATGCACTGCGTCACACGCTTCGAGTTCCAAAAGTATCTGGTTCTGCTCATCGAACGATTCATGAAGACCGCCTACGAGCAGAGCCTGGATCACGGCTGGAAGGCCCGTCAGCTGGTGGTGTTCTTCGACATGCAGGACGTGAATCTGAAGCAATATGCCTGGCGTCCGGCGGCGGAGTGTGTCATCTCCTCGGTGAAGCAGTACGAGGCCAACTTCCCGGAGCTGCTCAAGATGTGCTACATCATCAATGCGCCGAAACTCTTTTCCGTGGCCTTCAACATAGTGAAAAAGTTCCTGGACGAGAACACCACCAGCAAGATCGTCATCTACAAGTCGGGCGTGGACAAGTGGCAGCAGCAGCTCTTCTCGCACGTGAATCCCAAAGTGTTCCCCAAGGCGTGGGGCGGCGAACTGGTCGACAAACTGGGAGACCCGCAGTGCAAGTCGATGATGGTCTGGGGCGGCAAGCTGCCCGAGGATCTCTTCATCGACCAGAACAGCCAGCAGAGTGACAAGGACTTCACCGACACGCAGGTGCCCAAGGGGGACAAGCTGAAGCTGCACTTCAAAGTCAATCTGGAAGAACAAAAGATACTTTCTTGGGAATTCCGGACCATCGACTACGACATCAAGTTCGGCATCTACAGTGTGGACGAGAAGTCGGGCGAGAAGCGAAGCGAGGTGCCCTTGGGCACAGTCTACTCCAACGAAATGGACGAGATTGGCTACATCTCCACGCGACCCAACACCACCTGTGAGTAGCTGACTGTTCCTTGACCTGACAACCCCAAGGTTCTCTAACCCAGACCCTTCCTTCTTTTCTGTCCAGACACTGTTGTCTTTGACAACTCTGCCAGCTATCTGCGCGGCAAGAAGCTCCGCTACTGGGTCGACCTCGTCTCGGACGAGGAGGAGGGCATCACAGAGCTGACCAACCAAATGGACAACACACAGCTAGCGGCACAGCAGTAGTTGGGCAGTCGGTCCGACCAGCAACTAAGCCAAATACAATGGGATCAGATAGATATACACACTATCCATATGTATACACACACATATGTATATATAGCAACAATAACTAACCTCGGGTGCATCAAAGTCACGAATCACTTGCTAGAGATCTCCTCCTGCCTCCCAGCTACCTCTCCTCTGGCAGTCGGGCGGATGGCAGCGTCTGGCGAAGCTGTAGAAAACCATGTGATACAATCATTAGTAACGAAGAAACACAACTGCGACTCACACTTACCACTTACAACAAACATATAGTTAGTACTTGATTATTTGATTACTTAGCCGCACTCTGTATTGTTTAAACGGACCGTCTTGGATGTCGGTAGGCAGCACAATAAACTGTAACCACAATATGTATGCATCTCTTTTATTGGGAATCTGTCCCCCACCCCCTCCAAGGTGGGGCTCAAAACGGGGTTTACAAATAAAAAAAAACACGATTGGCAACCTTTTCTCGATTGGTATCAACATTTCCGTTCGCTCGCAGGAATCTCCAGACATCAAGGACACCCTTGTGCCTTGTGCGTACGCAGATCTTCCTGGGAGCAGCCCGGGAAATAAATATTATTTTGCGATGTGTATAAACAGTTTCTCGTGCCACTTTACAAATATCAACTATAGTTTTAGGGGTAAATGTTTGTTTTGCCGGGAGTGCAGAGTGCACGCGTAGTGATTGAGTAGTGGTCGCTCTTTCTGGGTATAAAAAAAAAACGTTTGTCGAATAAATAGATGTGCAGATGGGGGATCGATCGGGTTGGTCGCCGTTTCTGGTGCCTGCTCACTGCATGAGTGAGGAGGTGCGGCGCTTACGCCTTCATCACTGCGGGCCGCCGGGATTCGGACCAAGCTGTGGGTAGCCGCCAGGGCCAACCTGTCCTTGGGGCCCCACCTGCGGCTGCAGCTGCTGCATTGGCATCATGGGATTCGGACTGGAGCCGACCACGCCGATGCCAACGCCCACACCGACGCCGACACCCACTGGCGGTCCAATGGCCTGGTTGGGCGGCGGCTGGGGCATGTCCGTGGCCAGCTGCAGGTTGGTCAGCAGATCCGTGATTGCCGGGAAGAGCGAGCACTGGTTCTGCTGCGAATTGAACTCGGAAAAGCGGCGCAGGAGTGTGCTGGCCGCCGTCATCATGGGGGAGGGCACCTGCTCCCTGCGCTCGGCCATTTGGGTGAGGTTCATGGTGATGTCGTAGACGATGGGCAGCACCAGCGAGGGGCTGTCCTTCCAGTCCTTGCCGTTGAACGGGATCTTGGTGATCTGCAGGAAGAACAGGATCTTCATCCTGCCCAACACCACGCAGGCGTTTCCGCTGGGCACAATGGGCACCGCCGACGGCGGCATTCGCATGCACATCTGCACCGTCCACTTGAGCTGATCCCCGCCAAACTCTGGCTTCAGCTCCAGTCGCATGATCTGCACGAAGTCCTTGAGCACTTGGGCGGGCAGATTCAGCAGCCGGCAGATGCTGTGCAGCGAGTTCGGACGATAGGGCGGCGCCGCCACTCGGGTGTCGAAGTACTGCTCTATCACCAGGAGATCGTCGGGACTCAGCTGGAATGTGGGCTTGTCGGGCGGCGGCGGCAGTTGGGTGATCTTCAGGTGCAGCGTCTGCATGTGCATCTGGTTGAGCATCACCTGGCACTGCAGTCCGTCCACCTTGAACAGCACCACTCCCGGCTCCGTGGAGTTGAGGGCCGTCAGGGACTCCTCGTTCTGGATGTTGCGATGCAGCTGCCGGCGCATGTAGACGCAGCCGAGGAACCGCTCCAGGGGGCTCATGTCCGTCACATTGATATCCTTGTTCGGGTGCGGGCTGGGCCGGCACAGCGTCTCCAGGGCCTCGTGGGTGAGCAGAGTGGGCACGGCACCAGCCCAGGGGCGGTTAAGGGTGCCTCTCGATCCTCCACGATCGGGCCCACCTGTCACTACGCTGCCTCCAGTGCTCTTGTGCTCCGGACTCTGGCCGGGCCGTGGCGAGGGACGGGGCATGCTAGGGGATCCGGGCCATTGGTTGTTCGCCGGCGACATGGCTGTGAAGGGCGAGTCCTGGTGGCTCTGCATGTACAGCGTATTGGGACCGGGACTGTGCACCATGTGGGGACTCGGCTGCGGATTCAGTGGCGACGAAGGCATCAGTCCGCCCGGCGACGGGTGCGGCATATGCGGAGCCGGCGGCGAGGTTAAGTTAAAGTTTCCATGACTCTGCGCTGCCCCTCCTCCGCCCGCACTCGGATGGGGGCTGGCTGGCGTGTGAGGATTCGAGCTGGAGGGCGGAGTGTGCGGCGCCGGGAACCGCAGTCCACTGTCCCTCGGCGACTGGGGTCCACGCATGCCAGCGCCCAGGAATGGCGACGAACCGCCTGCACTCACACCCGTCACACTGCTGGGCCCGCCATAGTTATCCTCCATGCCAATCGGTGACAGCGGATTGTCGTCTTCGTGGGGCGCTCGTCCCCGGTACGCGGCCGACTCGTCCACGTACTTGGACAAGAACGCCTTCAGCCCCTGTATGGGCGTGAACTCCTCAATTACGTTCCGCTCGAAGCGACTGCTGGCTCCATCACGAATCGACACGAGACGGTTGGCCCGGAAGCGCAGCTCCAGGCAGTACACGGCCTGGTAGGTCAAACGCATGAGGCAGGGCGACTGGGCCAGCATGCAGAACGAGAGCACGGGCACCTGTGGGCGCTGCAGAGGAAAACACACCGAATGAGTGATGAATCAGCTACAGTACAGAAATAAGTGACGTGACTCACGGGAATCCCCAGGAAGGGCAGCACTGGGAGCTTGGCAATGGAGCTCATGGGGTTGTAGGTCTCGTGCAGGATTTGCGCGATCTGCGTGAGGCTGTGCTGCTGGTTCAGATGCTGCGCCAACTGGTCCCGCATCATCGAGTGGGCATTCACCGCAGACATGCCGCCCACGAAGGTCAGGCGGAAGCCATGCGACTGCACGGACCAGTAGATATTGCAGCTGACCTCCTTCTTCGGGCCATATCCCAGCAGAAGATTCATGTAGCTGTAGGACTTGACCACCAGCATGTCACACAGCGCGAGGCGTTCTAGAGGGGGAGAACAATAGGCGGTTACTCAAGGGAACCATCTGCGAACGATCCCTCAGACTACTCACTGTTCCTCAGCTGCTCCGCAAAGTCATAGACCAGCGTGTAGAGGTACACGATCTTGGACCAGTCGTTAAGCAGTTCCTCGACTGTCTTCGAGAAATCGTGATTGGCCTGCTCGTAGGTTAGGTAAACGGTGCGCCGGCTGCCCTGCTCCTTCGGATGGCAGCTCTGCAGCGGGGTGCTGTAGAAGACGAACTCCACCACCCAAATCCTCACTTGGCTGTTCTTGTTCGTCTGCGAGCGCACCGAAATCGAGAGTACACGCCGCATCAGATCGTCCCACACATGAGGCTCGATCCTGGGGAAAGCCGAGGAGCCGCTCGGCGGCTGAGGCTTGGTCTCGCCGGCAGCAGCACCAGCACCAGCAGAAGCAGCAGCACCCGCAGCAGCACCAGCAGCAGAAGCAGCTCCCTGCTGGGGCTGTTGGCCCGCAGCTGTGGCCGATTTGCCTGGCTGTGGCAGCGCCAGAATCTTCAGCACCAACGAGGTGGCATTTGCCTCCACCTGCAGGCCGCTGTGCGGAATATTGTGCTTGGACAGGGTTTGGGCCAGATTCATAAACGGTATCTTCTCATCGCACATGGCCACCACGTGCGCCAGTTCGGGTATGAAGTACGCGGGAAATATTGTCTTTTGCTGCTTGGCTGGGGGCGCTAGAATATCGCCAGTAGATTTGCGTTTGTGTGGAGACACCTCCGCTGCAAGGATATGGAAATGCTGTTAGTAAATCAAGGGCCGGTTGCAGTCCCTCTGGGGGTTGCAGCTGCTCACCATCCACCTCAGTGCCGGGCCCATGGGTGGCCACAAATGTATCGAACTCGATGAGACGCATCAGTTTGGTGAAGAATTTCGGGATATCCGATGGCGGCTGAGCCACCACGGACACCAGTTGCTTGGCAGAATCATCTATAACGTCGGCCTCATCCTTCTGGAAGGCCACAAAGCCCAAGTGGAATGTGTATTCCATTTCGTTTGCCATCGTTGACTTCTCCTTCAGCTGAACCACCTGTAAGAGCGAGAGGAGCGAGGCTTTTAGATGTGATTAAAGGCGCATGGACCTGGCTTACCAGAATAATATTGGGATGCCTGTGCAGCTTCACGTATATCTTGTGGCGGCCCTGCTGCAGCAGCTCCTGCTCGGGCTGGGTGAGGAAAGTCAGCGTATCGGTGGCCGTGGCCGGCAGATGCTGCAGCGTCTTCTCGCACCGACGATGCGTGATCCAGTAGCGCAGCTCCGAGAGCAGCGACGGCAGCTTGCTCCGATCACCGTTCAAGGCTTCCTGCATCTCGTCCGTGATCGGACAGTCCAAGTGCTTGGGCACGTGGCAGCGGAACATGCCCGTGTGCGTGTCGATGGTAATGTGGATTTGCTCCGCTCGCAGGCAGGGCGAGAGGACGGGCACAGTGAGAATGGCTGGCGTGCCCTGAAGGTTGACTAAAATGGAGATCAGATCAGGAATCAGGGATCAGGGTTGCTTCTTTCGCTGACGCGGAAACCCCCAAACATTTACACTCACAATCAACATCCTTAAGGAAGGCCTGGAACTCCAGCTTCAGGTCACTCAGCCTGGACACGGATCGGATGTAGACCGTGTGCACAATCAGCCGCTCCATCGACAGATGCTCGGACCGCACAGCGCGATCGGCCACTTCCGCCGACTCCTTGGCTCCCAGCGATGGCACATGAACCACGGCCAGCGGACGGCCAATCTCACTGGGATCCGACTGAACAGTGAGACGATAGCCCAGCTCCGATTTCAGGTCCCGCCAGTAGGAGACGGTCAACTTAACGCCTGGCACATACTCCTCCACAGTGATGTTGTTGTCGTCTAGACGCTCGTAGTTCAGGCGGAGCGTTTGGGTGTAGAGCACCTCCAGCTGCAGCGACTGGCAGAAATAGTGCAGGCAATTGTATACCTCGCTCAGGGCATTGGGATTCTCCACCAGACGAGCTTGGATTAGCTGATGGATGTAGTTCACTTGCAGTGGATGGACAAGGGATTTGCCATCTACAGGGGGGAAGAAGTTACAGAAACGCAAGGTAAACGAAACGGATTGAAGAGCCTACCTCCCGTCTCTTTGTCCTCCACGAGTACATCGATGTCCAGCAGACGCCAAGGAACATTCTGGCTATCGCCCATAACCGTAAGGGCCACACTGAACTCGTGCTTCACCTCGAAGGTGACACGTCCGTTCTTGATTCGGAATTCCCGCATCTGCGGCAACAGTTTGCCCGTGACCAGGCGATGCTGAATCACCTGATTGAGGCGCAGCAGGGTCTGCTTCTTCTCTGCCGGCGTGATGGCATCCGCGGGCACAATCCGTTCGCGAATGCAGGTCGGCAAGCGGTTGTAGGTGCCAGTTGTGAGCACCTCAACGGCAGCGGGAATGTGAAAGTTGGGTAAGCGGGCGCGCACCAGCGTCTCCCGCGACATGCGGGCCAGCATGTCGGCCGTCTCCACGAACAGCATGTTCTGTTTGTCCAGGAAACTCATAATCTGCGACGATTTGTCCACTTTGGAGACCGAGTTGCCCCACTTGACCAGCGCATTGAGGCGGGTGAACAAGTGCCGTGTGCGGGCTGCATAATTGTAGATTTCAATCTTGCGCTCCATATCAGTTTTTCTTGGTAGCCTGCATTCAAAACAATTCACTCTAAGCACCCATTTCACCTCTCGCATCCTTTTCCGTTTCAATACTTACAGTTCGGCCAGCACCGTCAATTCGTGGTAGGTGCGTTGGATGATGAAATCGATCAGCATCGACATGGACATGGTGTTGATGCGGGGTCCGCCCTCCTGGCCAGCTGGCAAGTAGCCACCAACGCCGGACATTTGCTCCAGGGGCAGCGGTGTCGGCGCCATGTTGTGCCTCTTGTTGCCCTGAATGTGTTTTTTTCTGGCTTTATTGCCCTTTGCAATATGTTTTTCCTATTGCTTTCAGTTCCAATTACTGTTATTCATATTTTTATGCACTTTTCCAATTGTTTGGGACACTTTTTTAACAACTTTTCGCGAGAATTCAACAATTTTCGGCTTCTATTTAGTGTGACCGCGGCCTTATCGATGAAATATACCGTCCGACCCGCAGAAATATAACAAAATATACCGTCTCATTGTAAAAATATACCGTAAATATACTGACGAATTCAAGTTCTATATTCCTCGACTTGTATGTTCCGTGGAATATTACTAGCTATCTAGATCTCTCAGCAATGCCCACATAAATTTATCCAATTAATGAATATATTTTCTACTTGACTGGCTCACTTTAAATACTTGACTTTGATGTTTTTTGCCGCAATTTTGGATCCTCAACAACAATATAGAGTCTCGTGAGATGAACAACCGTTCTTAGCCCACTAAAGCCCCCTCTATTTAAATAGTTAAACTACTTGAGGTAAATGGCGGAATATATTAACGATTGTGATTTCTTCTTGTAGATTCATGCCATCTTTCCTCTGAACTTAAAAAAAACCCACTTTATCTTTCACCTGAACTGCGCTAACATTATTCAACTTTCATTATTTTCGGTGGAAAATTGAAATACCCTTTTGGCTTATAATAGGTTAATCGTTCTCCGGCAAGTATTGGAAACCATATATCTAAAATTTGATGTTCCGTCGAATATTATTAGCTATATAGAACATTTAGTAATGCCCACATAGTTTTATACGATTGATGAATCTATTTCCTACATGACTAGCTAAATTTAAGTTTTCATCTTTATTGCAGTGCTTATAAAATAAGGTTTAAGCAAAGGTGTGTGAGCTAAGCTAGACATGGTGGCATGAAAATCAGTGTGACCTCGGACTTAGCGATAAAATATACGGTCTGACCCTCAGAAATATACCAATGAATAATGGAAACTATCGATTGCATCACGTGATTATCTGTATCGATTACTTTAGGCGCAAAATCAAATTATTTAAACGCAAACTGAAAGAATATTACAACAATTATTTTAATTAATTTAGGCAATTGTAAAATTAAAATTAAAGGAATAATTAAGAGAAAAAAGGTAGATCTGGTCAACAAATTGTTACCTGTAGTATTTATTATGATAGTATGTACAAGTTCTGCAGGTTAATAACTCTTCAATTCGCTGACATGGCCAATTATAGATGGGAAAGTTCATTGACCAAAGCAAGTTTTCCATTACCATCCAAGTGATGATTTCTGTTTTAGTTTTCCTCATGTTTTCCGCTGTTAAAAATAAAGAAAACAACAACATTTCCGCTTTTGTTTCTTTGAATTTTGACACGGTTGATGTTTCGCTTCCATTGCACTCTTCACTCGAGCTCCGAGCCGTCAATAAACAGCCACTGCCGCCACTTGAGGCACATGCCACGCACCCACCACCTCTCTACCTCTCCACCCCTCCGCACCCTCCTCAACCAGGCAGGCCCTTGCCAAGTGGCAGCCACCTACGGAATCGAATCGGTAGCCGCTTCACTTGCTCTTCAAAAGTTCAAATTTAGCAGCGCCGTGGACTTGGATTTGGATATGCAGTTTGGAGTTTGAACCTCCCCTACGTGAGTGTGCGCTCGTCGTCGCCTGTGCGCTTTGCTCTCCATGCATCCGCAACTCCCCTAATCCGAATCCGATTCGGAATGAGAATCAGAATCAGCAGAGAGTCAGTGCTAGTTCCCCCATCCGTCCAGCCGTCCATCCGTCCAACCGTCCATCCGTCGGTTGTTGTCAGCCTCTGTATAAATAGAACTTTATGATCTTGCTGCACGCCGCGGCACGATCCAAACTTCAGCTGCAACTCTGCAGCAGCAGCAGCAACAGCAGCAGCTCTGATTCCTCGCACAGGAATTACACACATATCCGGCCTGGCAGGGGCAGCCGTGTCAGGTGCTGCCCCTCCAGTACGAAAGAGAGAGAGAGAGAGATCCATCCATCCAACCATTCATCCATCCGCTTTAACCCTTGAGACTTGTGCGAGTCAAAGGAATGGAATTCCTGTAAACAGGATGCTGCATTGAATTTGGAGAATTGGGTGATGAAGTCGCACGTTGCGATATAAGTTATAGCCATAGCCGCCTCGTCTCGTCTCGCCACTCGAGTAATCGCAAGAGATCTGAGATCTGAGGTCTCCACTCAAGTGGAGTCGAGTCGTTGGCTCGTGGCACAATTCCCGAATTTCCGAATTCCCGAATTCACAGATTTCTCAGATTATCGTTGAATTTATGGAACCGCAACATGATCATCAGGCTTCAATTAACAATCAATTATAAAATTATTTACAAAACAACAAACGAAGAAATTGTTGGGGAGAAAAATATGTATATACCCGTGCGTGCATGCAGAAGATTTCCCTCTTTTCTTTCTTCATTTCGCCTGGCTGTTGAATTTCGCATTAACGCTGATTCCGCCTTATTTATTATCTGTGTAAATAATTGGAGAACCTCCCGTCCGTCTGGAATTTACGGATGTGGTTGTCGATTCTTCGATGTGGGAATGGGAAGGGAATCGGGATGGGAGTGGGAATGGGAATGGGGCTAAGAATGGTGGCCAAATACTTGTACTTTTACTTGTACTTGTACCCTGGTTGCATTTTACCTACGCAAAGAAACGATCCACCCAATGCGATGCGATGCCGCAGCAACAGCAACAGCAACAGAAACAGCAGCAGAGAAACAGTTAAAAATAAAGATCCAGGGGCACTTAATAAACGGAGCACAGACGGGAAGATGGAGCTGCCTTGCCGCATGGGAGATCGGACGGACGGGACGATGCAATTGCGCAGCAAGTGAGGAGAGAGTAGAGTGGAGTGGAGTGGTGCCATAGCCAGAGCCAAAGCCACGGCCGGGTAGCGGTGGGAGGTGACGGTGGCCTGGCTGGAATCAGGACGAAAATAGATTTATGGCCGCCAGTCGACGTCGTCGTCGTCGTCGTCGTCGTCGGTCTCCAGAATGGTCTCTCGCTCTGGGTGAGGCCTCGCCTGTCTCGGGGCTTAGTTCTTGTCTGATGGGGGCTGCTGATCAGATCTTCCCTGAGGTTGAATCTTGGATGGGGATGGAGATGGGGAGGGGGGTTCTATACTCGTGGTATGGGACACTTCCTTCCTTTGTCCCAGTCTCTGTTTCTCTTTCTCTCTCTTTCTCCGCCTGTCGCGGCCTTTCTTCTCTTATTAATTGCCGTGATTAAAGTCGACGCTGCTGCCACAAAGTGTCTTTAGCACATGTCACACATTGGTCTACCTCCCGCCCCCCCATACCATCCCATCCCCCTACCCAGTGGCATTTCCTTGGTCCAAAGCTTTCTCTCTGATGCATGGCACTGGCCCATCTTGACCTTACCATTCAAATTGCATTTCCATGTTGGCGCCAGACATCATCCATTCTCCTGCCTCCCCCGTTGTCTTTCCCTGCCACACCCTTGGTGTGCTGCTGCTGCCTCAGCTGCTGGGATTTCCTTTGTCTTTCGATCGGTGCGTGGGCTGCAACTTGTGAAGTGTGAAAATCCCAAAAGAAGTGCGAAAAAACGCACTGCAAAGGGGATGAGAATGGGGATGGGGATGGGATGGTCTGATCCGTAAATCTTTTGTCCAACATCAAAAACCAATTTAAACCAGAACCAAAAGTCCCCGAAGCACACACATAAATCATATCGAATATAGAATATAGAAAATATACCAACCATAAATATATCCGAACCAATAACCAACCCCAACCCAAACCCCGACCCCTACCTCCCACCACCTGACGGGGCGACATTAAGTTCATTACGCCGGAAAAGCCGACAGCGAAAGAGAGACAGAGAGAGAGAGACAGAGAAGAGAAGAAGAGAGGCATAGAACAGGCGACAACACCTGTGTGGAATTCGTTTTCCTTCAAAGGCCAGCCAGGGGGAGGGATGGAATAACAGAAGAAGAGAGCGAGAATGGCAGAGGGAGTGGTTAGGGGGTGGGTGGAATGGGGTACAGGTGAGCGGAATCTATTTTGGATGCCCGCCGAAAGCACAAACAAATGCCAAATTGCATTTCACTGCGTCACACGGAAAAAACAAGAGAGGAAAAGCCGAGGAGCCGGCAACAGCGTAAAAACTGCCCAACCACGAAGCCATAGAGAGAGAGAGAGAGAGAGAGAGAGCGAGAGAGATCAGCATGGGGGCTGCCGCCAAAGGGAAAGACACACACTCTATGAGTATTTTGACACTGGTTAGGAAGATAATTCTGCGCAGTGGTCCTGCTGCCTGCCCTGCACTTAAAAAAAAAAAACAGTTTTTCCATTTTCAGCAATCAGTGGGAGAGGTGCCGTCCCGTGCCGGAGCCAGAGCCAGTGCCGTAGAGAGCAAAGAGAGCAGAGGAGAGGAGGCATAAGGAAAACATTACTCGTATTTTCGATTTATTTATAAACCGCACACCGCACACACTTGTTCCGATCTTCTCCGATCTCTCCTCTGCCGATCCGAGCGTCGTTCTCCCCGAGTTCTCTCTACACTCCGACGATCCTCGGGTGGCGGCAGCGGCGGTGGCGGCGGCGGCGAACAGCTGCTGGCTGTCGTCCACGTCTCCCTCGGATCGTACGGCACACGATCACGATGTAAAAACTGTAAGTGGTGTTCCGTTGAAGATTCAGTTCTTCCTGGGATCTCGTTGCGTTGCGATCGCCTTTTTTTTTGGACAGCGGACTGCCAGTACCGTCTGCACCGTCTGTACCGTTTGTACCGTTTGTTCAACCGTTCGATAGCTTTGACACTTGGCGAGGATCATCGAGCTTCAGAGCATCGATCGATCAGCACCCTCCCACCAGAGCACCAGAACACCAGAGCACCCTCCATACCACACACCACACGCCGCCCCACACACACAAATCCGAGCGAACACTTGGCTTGTGATGAAATTTGAAATTCGTGAAAATCTCGAGAAGAACGAGAGGAACAGTGAAACGCGTGTCGCTATATAGTCGTATGTGAACACGGATTCCGATATCTGTGTCTGTGTGTAATATATTATTGATTTGGCATCGACATCTGAATCATCAGCCACCTATAACCACCGCCGACGAGAGACACCGAAAGACGAGGGACAAGAGACGAGACGAGAAGCGGAATCTGCTTCCCAGAGATCCCACCCGATCTATTCGAAAAAACTGCGTGTGGGGTGAGTTGGCAAAAAATTACGATTACTTTTTGGTAGAAAGAAAGTGAAAGGCCCTTCGAGGCAGGGGGCCTTCTTCTAATAGATGTGTAGCATTTTCCCCCGTGTTTTTTCTTTCTTTGTTTTTGCACCTTTTGGATTACACAATACAATTCGGCGAGAGAATGCATAACATAACTATAATTTTTCGCCAGGAAACAGAGACACCCCAAATCGAAGACAAAAATCTGTTTGGCAAATTGGGCCAAAAGATTCGCGTGAATGCAAAACAGTCAAAAGACTGGCAGTGCGCAGACCCCTTCCCACTGTCCATCCCATCCCATCCCATCCCAACCCATTCCGATCCTATACGATACGATACGATCTACCCATACGATACGAAACGACCACACTTGTTAAATTAATATTATTATTTCTTTTGATATTTTGACATTTACGTGAGAAATGTTTGCATTGGCAATGAGCTTCTATGGGGCTGCTTCGGGTTCGGCCTCTTGTGCCGCTAATTCTGCGGACGCGATTCTGCGGATGGGATGCTCTTCTTCTGAAAAATGAAGTCTCTTTCGCCCAGAAAGAAAGAAAAGCGAAGTGACAGCTTAGAACGGGGAAATGGGTGCCATTCTACAGAGATATGTGCCTATAGGTATATGTGTCTGGTGATATCTGGTAATCATGCCATTGTCTAGAGGCTGCAAAGTGCGTTGTTCAAGACCGGGGGGAGAACTGCGTAGATCTTGGAACCACAACAACTAATTTGGTCGAAAGCTATACATATATGTAGGGGTGTACTATAAAATAGGGGGAATTATCGCAAATGATTTACAGGTGATTCTAGAGCTTCCTCCTTCGTCGCGATCGATCCTTTGTGTCCTTTCCTTGTTTATATCGCCGTAAACAATCCATCGAGAACTGCAGTTTGAGGCAACGATTGATGAGGGCCCGACGCCGCCAGCACCGCCGCCACCGCCTCTGGCATAAACATTCCCTGCACCGTCCCTGCCCCCTTGGTATTCCAATCCAAACAATTCGGTCGAAACGCAGCGGGATTGGAGGGGGAATGCGAATGGGAATGGGATCCTCGGATCGGTCATCTGTGTGGCATTGACTCTTGAGGCAGTGCCAGAGAGACTGGCGCTGAGATTTGTTTATTATCCATTTGCATTTTCAAGTTTGAACTAAAATGTAAACTACAATATTCCCGAGCAACACAACGTCTCTCAACCCTTGTCCATCTGTGGTCCCTGTGGGCCCTAGGAAAGGTGTCTATTAATAGAGATCCATGGGAGAAGAGGAAGAGACGTGTACGCCGTACGGCCACCATCAGCATCAGCATCAGCATCGCCATCAGCAGCGTTGTTAAGGCCACTGAGGCCACCTCCACCTCGTTGAACGTCTCTGCACCATTGTTGCAGTCCAGAATTTCTCTCTTTGGCTTTTGTGTACATTAACAGGACTTTGAACTTTCCTCCCATTGGCAATGAATGGACGGACACGGGGCTACAGACACGGCCACAGACAGAAGGACAGAAAGACGGACAGACGGACGGAGAGGCCATGCAGTGTGCGCCTCGATTTGCGCAGATCTCTTCTGCATCGGTGGGAATGGAAAAAACCATACGAAATGGAACACACGGTTGTTCTTCGGCATTGCCTGGGTCAATGTGTGTGGGGGGCGGAGGGGGGAGGTGCATTATGGTGACTCAATTGGAGTGCTAAGAAGATCTTTGGGGATCCCATCATTGCAAGGAGTGTCCGTGTCCGTGCCCGTGCCTGTGCCCCCCGTGTACTTCCTGCTCGTGTCATCTGCGATTACCAATCTGCGATCTGCAATCGCTGCACGGTGCTGCCCGAGGAATTATTAATTAACGGCCTGTCACAGAAACATGCGACATTTCGTTTGCCTCAACATCAACGATTCTGACATCGAAAATATGGCACAGGCCACCAGACCACCAGACCACAGATCGCTTAGGGGGAGAGCAGAGACCAGAGACCAAAGACCGAAAGAAGGCAGCAGCACTTGTCAGCTGTTCCTCGGCGATTTCTTTAGAGGAATGTTCACGAACGTACAAGTTCTCCCCAATCACACATTCATATTTCTTGAGTGGCACACCGTTCGGTGTTCGATGGAATATCGAGGGTATAGAAAATGACGTGATTAGGTAGAACATTCTATACACATATGTGCTATGTGCTGTGTGCTGTGTGTGTGAGTGTCGGTGGCAGGCAACCACCTGGGAAGAGTGTGGACGAGGAGAGGGATATATGAATAAATGGGCCGCAAATTGGCAAGACACAACTTATGGGATGTCTGGCCCGGCCCACGCACAACACCGCAGAGCACAACGCAACACCCCACCCCAGGGGGGCACGTTGAAGGGGTTTTCCATGGAAAACCACCTTCGCAACGAGAATTCTGTTTAATTGCCGCCAACATTTTGATGTACTCCGCGGTGGCAAAAAAGCAAAAATGAACGCGAGCGAATTGGCAGCTAAGAATGCTCAACAGGTTGCAAAAGTCTGGCGGGCTGGGGGTTTGGCAGATGTTTAGCCATAGGATCACCCACACCCACGCCCCACTACCTCAAATCACGCGGCCCGGGGCTGGGGCCTGGGGCCTGGGAGGGGGCCTGAGACGCGCGTTCTATAGAAAAAGCAAACAAAACGCCGCAAAAGCAGCAAAGCAACCGCTTTATTGCACATGACCTCGTCTTCAGAGCTCATTGAATGAATCGATGATTATTTAGACGATTAGTCGGTGGTGGCTGAAAGGAGAAAAGCTTTCGCCATGGATAAACAAATGATCAAGTGCTATGGGATGGATATACACAACGAATTGATGGCCTTTCCACGCAAAGATATCGAGGCGGAGATCTATGAGTATCTGGGTTATGACTACAGTGAACCCTGCCTTATAGATGGGAGCCCACCTGACGCTGTGTTGCGCCAATTACGTGCGAGATTAATCAATGCCACGACAACATGAACAAATTAAGCGCATTCATTTCGACATAAATTTATATCACATGCGAGTAGCGAAGAAGAGCCCCAGCCCCCTCCATCCGTATATATGAAACATACAAAGATGCAGAACTACAAAAACGTAGAGCCGTAGAACCCGTAGAACCCGTAGAGCCAACAAGTGCCAGCAGAATGCAATGCCGGCCATGCTCTGACGTTAATCATACGCCCCGTGTGCCAACCAACCCCATCTTCAGTGCCCATTCCCCCGATCCCCCGATCCCCCGATCCTCCGATCCCCATTCGCACGACGCTGATGCTGATGATGATGCTGATGATGATGATGATGATGCAGACGACTTTGGCTCACATCGTGGCCGTGTGGCCTCTCGGTCCACGTCCTTAATTATAAATTGATGAATCTTCAAATAAACAAACAAGAATTATGGCGCTTACCGGTACAGAGAGACAGAGAGAGGGAGAGGGCGATCCATGGCCCAAGGGGGTTTCTGATAGGAGGAGAGTGATGGATGCATCTGCCCGTGGACGGTCTGTGGATGCCACACATTTATAATGTCTTTCCCATAGATTCCACTGATACATCTGCAAATACATAAGTATATATGTATTTGTATTTGTATTTGTATGTAGCACTCACTCGCGTTGTCGTTGTCGTTGGTCAATTGGGTGGGAATGACGCATGTGGTTCGCATTTAGCAGGTTGTCTCGTCTCGTCTTAGCCAGTGCCATTTCGATTTCCACTGCCATTTCATCATAGAAATTCCCTCGTTTCTTTGCAGACACCATTTCATCGTCATGACGAAGGACCAGCAGGCCACTCCCATACCCGAGGAGCTGTACAATCTCACACAGCTGGCGGAGGTCACGCTGGCAGCGGGTCCCCTGATCACGGACGGCGAGGTTAAGCCCCACTTCTATGCCTGTTCGTCGGACGATGACTCCAATTACTACAGCCACAAGGTGTTCGATCGCAGGAAACTGCGGCGCTGCACCATCTCCGACTCGAACTCCTGCACCAGCAGCAGCAGCAGCAGCCACAGCAGCCACAGCCACCAATCCGGGGAGCCCCAGGAGCAGGAGCGGCACGATCATCAGGAGCAGGCCACGGAGGACGAGCACATCTGTCCCGAGTGCGGCAAGAAGTATTCCACATCCTCGAATCTGGCGCGCCATAGACAAACCCATAGGTAGGGGACGACAGAGAACCGAAAAGATCTCAAAAGAGAACCCAAACTAATCTTGAATCCTTTCGAAGGTCAATTATGGACAAGAAGGCACGCCATTGCCCCTTCTGCGAGAAGGTGTACGTGTCGATGCCCGCCTACTCGATGCACGTGCGCACCCACAGCCAGGGCTGCGAGTGCCACCACTGCGGCAAGTGCTTCTCCCGCCCCTGGCTGCTGCAGGGCCACATCCGCACCCACACCGGGGAGAAGCCCTTCAAGTGCAGCGTCTGCAGCAAGGCCTTTGCGGACAAGTCCAACCTTCGGGCCCACATCCAGACGCACTCGAACACCAAGCCGCACTCGTGCTCCCGCTGCGGCAAGGCCTTCGCCCTGAAATCGTATCTGTACAAGCACGAGGAGTCCTCCTGCATGAAGAACCGCAGCAGCGGCGGTGGCAGCGGCAGTGGCAGCGGCAGCGGCACAGGGCGACCCCCTGCATCGCCCAAGCGGCAGCAGGAGGGCGGCTCCAGCTGTGGCTCCAGTTCGGGCTCGATTTCGGGCTCCCCCTCGACGGTGACAACGACCGCCCCTCCGGACTCGGCCAAGTCGACGCTGGCCAATAAGCTGCTGCAGAAAGAGAAGGAGCGGCGGCAGGCGGCACTGGCATACCAGAGCTCTTCCTCCTCCTACCCGTTGGGCGACAACGAGCACTTCAAGCGGACCAATGTGATCCAGCCGACGGCTCTGGCCCATCCGAGTGTGCTCTACCAAACGATGCATCCGCTGCACTACCACTATCACGTACCCAACCCACCGCCCCCCACAGAGGGCGGTGCGGCAGGCACCGGGGCACAGGAGCAGCCGGTCGACTTTTCGCCAAAGAACAACTTCACGCACTCGGCCAAGACAAGTCCCTTTGAGCTCACGGGCAACTATGCGATGGTGGCATAGTCCCAGGGCAGGGACCACATGCAGAATATATCCAAGCAAAAGACACCAGAGAGAACGAAAGAACTTCAGAATCGAGGATAGCAAAACCCCCACAAAGCACCCACCCTGCACCACCCAGAGTCCAAGTCCAAGTCCAAGTCCAAGGCCATTTTCTTACTGTAGTCAACGAATATGTGATAAAAAAACAAAAATGCAAAAGAGCTAAAGTACCATTTAGAGAGTAGATGATTCCAAAGAGAGAGCACTAGCTGATCCACGAGACAGATCACTCCAAAATAGAGCGAGACAGAGCGAGAGAGAGAGAGAGAGAGAGAGCGCAAAGGAAGAGGAGCAGAGGAAGTTATACACACGATATAGATATCTAGACAGGGATCGATCCGATGGCCCCTCTAAGGCCGCGATCGTTTGATCTTCACTTAGTTGTAATGAGACTTCTTTAGAGACTTGCCAAGAACAACGACAAACCACCAATGTAACCAGTATTTTTTTGATAGCACATACAATACGATCGATCGATTGGTCGATCGTTCGATCAGCATATATGTAGATCCAGAGATCGTCCCCGCTCACCCGATCGTCGACACCCACAGCAAAGCTAATTTTATACACACACACACACATTTCTTCTCACTTAGAATTATGATTTTACAAGATACAACATAGACACACACGCACACATAAACACTGAAAAGTATACATAGTTAACCTTATTAATCATTTCGCTTTAAGGCATTGAGGATGGGGCTTCCTGCTTCCCGCACGGAAGTCGGTCCAAAACGAGAGATATCTAGTCTTTATCTTTAAATTCGGCGCACATCTTGTGGGTCTCCTCCACATGTGTGCGGCACTTTATTTTAAGCACTCTTACGGCCGCATGTGGTGCAATAATTGACATAACTATAACACTAATTAGCCCCTGACACACACCCCTACCCCTAGCTATACATCTATACATCTGAAGACCTATAGATCTATAGATCTATACACATATCGCATATTATTTTGTAGCACTTTACACATTACGAGTAGTTATCGTCGAGCATATTTAGAGGGACACGAGAAGCACACTGCATTTTCTATACTCAACCCAACTCCACCTACGACTCGAACCTACAGCTAATCGCACCAAAGATATCGTACATACATACACCTACTCTATAGAGTGCACCTGCATATACCTTGGTGCACACACATTATATATTCGTACTTAACATATACACCCTATATCTAGATCTTAAAATTGTATTATAGATTTGCACATTTATTCGAATTAAACGAGAGATCCAACGATCCCTGAGAAATGAACACAAGAGTTTTTCTATGGATATCCATCCAATAATTTCAACAATTTCGTCAATATTTTACGAAAGAACTTCAAAATGTAGGGGAATCCAAATTCTTGTGGTTGATTGCTGTTTAATGTTAACATTTTATTAAATTTTTAACGAAACATGAAGATTTGGAATACAATTAGTGTGTGGACTGTGGGCTGCGGATCGAAACACTCGATCTACGTGTATGGTCGTGTGTATGCCACCACACCCCAGTGTTAATAACTATGCGGCTGCCAAGCCTTCAAAAACAATAACAAATAATTAAAAATTTGGTTCCCAAAGGTGCTTAGATATTAGACCATATGGATTTTGAAGAATCCATTAAGGTGGGTCTCTGAATGGGGCCGCCGCAGCGAACCACCAGATCCTCGAACGTCTTGTTGTGTAGGAAGCAGACCAGAATGGCAGTCATGTTGTCGCCTCCAACCTCGGTAATGTTGAAGTCGGTGGCCAGGCAGCTGTTCAGCAGCTCCTCGCAAATGCACTCCGGGGTCATGCCCGCGGCGAGGTGCTTTCGCACAAAGTCACACACCTCCTGATTGGACATCACATCCCAGATGCCATCGCAGGCGAGGACCACGAACTCCCAGTCCTCTGTGAGGTCGACCACCTCCACATCGGGATAGGCGGTGACGATCTGCTGCTCCGGTGGCATGTACATGTTACGCTTGTACATGCAGTCGCCAAAGGCCCGAGAGAGGGCCAGAATGCCATTGACGCGATTGAGCTCGATAAAACCACCGCCGGCCAGGATGCGGCTAGTCTCCAAATCGTGTTGTGGCTTGTGGTCCCAGGAAAGGGCGTGAACCTTGCCCCCAATGCTGGCAATGGCCCGCGAGTCCCCAGCATTGGCACAGTAGAGACGCTGCTCCTTGATCAGTACTACCACAGCGGTTGAGCCCGCTGTCTGCTGCTGCCAGGATCCATTCTGCATGATCTCTTTGTCAAGGTCCAGGAACCCGCGCCTCAAAGCCAGCTCCACGTCGTTGTCAAAGTACTCCCGTCGCTTGGTAATGAACTGGTGCAGATGAAGACTTACATATTTGGCCACTGAAGCACCGCCATGTCCATCGTATACCCCGAAGAAGGAGGCAGTGGGGTCCTGTGGCAGCGAGAGGATGATGGTGTCGGCGTCCTCCATTTCAGTGCGCCAGCCCTGCATGCTGCTGGATCCCACGCGGAAGAGACTGTTCTCGTACTCGGCCGAGTTCTTGGTGGTCACCGGCTGCGACAGTGTCTGCCCCATTATGTACTTCAGAAAGGGACAAGCCATTACACATCCCGGACTTTCTGTACTACGATGGATTCTATACTCACTTGCTGCTATCCTTTGTTCTGACTCGAAAATGTTTAACCAAAGTAGAGATGTTTTATCGGTGTACTTTTTGGGACTGCTATACAAATGGGTCTGGTCTGGTCTGGTCTGGTCTGTAGTATTTACCTGACTGAATCGGCAGGCGAAGCATACTATTCAAAGGGAATGAAAGAAATCAAAGCTATGGCTTCTATGTTCAATAATATTTTTAGGTTTTTCAAATGCTCAAGTAAGGGTTTTGAACTCGAAAAAATCGGCACCTAAGGCGAACCGAATGATTGTGGAGAAATATGGTGAGGTCAAGATTTTTTGGAGTGACTAAAACGAAATGAAGCTAAACGTTGTGAGTTGCAGCTACATACGTCTGCGACTCTTTTTTTTATACCCAATACTCAGTCAGCGCGGCTCCCCTCCGCCTGAGAGAGCACACAGTGCACGACGAAGAGTGTATGCGAGAAAGGGAATGAGTGAGCGCGTGGAAGGCCTTGAGTAGATACTGCAAATTAATTTGTTCCTTCTGGATATAGTAATAATCCGATCTTATCCAGATTTCTTAATCTGTTAGATATGGTCATTCTCTATGATTCTGCATTTTTAGTTTTTCCGTATCTTTAAAATGTTGGATGCCACAGAATACACTTGTAACATTGCGATATCACAAAAATTAGAGACAAGGCATTTTCCAGGCGGAATCCGCAAGCTGATCAAAAAGATGGGAGGAATTGGTGACTAACGATGGAACACATTTATGTACTTGAAAGAAAAAATGCATAACCATTTTTCGAAGACATATCTCTCCTCGACCGATTTGTATGAATTTTTCTTATATTTAGTAGGTATGGGATAAGGTTTTTAACTAATTTTGCTCTTCCTATCACGATTTTTGGGCCGTCGAACGAATAAAGCAAGAAACATGCGAAATATTACAGCAGAAAAAACAAATTCACGAATCCAACAAGATAACGAAAATGTGCGTGTGAGCATGTCGCAATTGGGTGAATCTCAGTCACAAAAGGCACGAGATAAACGAAATCAACAAACAAAGACTAAAACAGACACAACGCTTATCTTCTTCGTCTCGCATCCAAGTAAGAACCAGACATTGAATATGTCGCTCATCGGAAAGTTCTGACTTGTGCTATGGACACACACATTGTCATGCGCTCGATTTCAAGTCAAATGGACTTATTAGGAATAGTGCAGCTACTTATAATTGAGACAAGATTATTGATTCTTGCTCATCGGCACGGATCCAGATTCGACCCTGTTCCTGAAGTTCATTCGCTCATTCAATTCATGATTCCACAACATCTTTCGCAGCAACTGAAATAGTTCTCAGTACTGCGGCAAATGGTTTGCTAGTATATTATATAGTCGTTCTACACATATACACCATATCGCATATAGATTTGCACAGAGATCCCTGAGAAATGAACACAAAAAGTGTTTCAAAATGTAGTGGAACTCGAATTCTTGAGGATGATAGTTGATTGCTGGTTAATTTTAACATTTTATTACATTTTTAACGAAACACCTGACAAATTTGGAATAAAATAAATGTGTGGACTGTGGGCTGTGGGCTGCGGATCGAAATACTCGATCTGCTATCGTGCGTATCACGTGTGTATGTCACCACACCCTAGTGTTAATAACTGTGCGGCTACCAAACCTCCAAAAACAATAACAAATAATTAATAATTCCTAATTTGGCGCCCAAAGGTGCTTAGATGTCAGACCATATGGATTTTGAAGAATCCATTACGGTGGGGCTCTGATTGGTGCCGCCGCAGCGAACCACCAGATCCTCGAACGTCTTGTTGTGTAGGAAGCAGACCAGAATGGCAGTCATGTTGTCACCTCCAACCTCGGTAATGTTGAAGTCGGTGGCCAGGCAGCTGTTCAACAACTCCTCGCAAATGCACTCCGGGGTCATGCCCGCTGCGAGGCGCTTTCGCACAAAGTCACACACCTCCTGATTGGACATCACATCCCAGATGCCATCGCAGGCGAGGACCACGAACTCCCAGTCCTCTGTGAGGTCGGCCACCTCCACATCGGGATAGGCGGTGACGATCTGCTGCTCCGGTGGCATGTGCATGTTCCGCTTGTACATGCAGTCGCCAAAGGCCCGAGAGAGGGCCAGAGAGCCATTGACGCGATTGAACTCGATGAAACCACCGCCGGCCAGGATGCGGCTTCTCTCCTCTTCGTTTTGTGGCTTGTGGTCCCAGGAAAGGGCGCGAACCTTGCCCCCAATGCTGGCAATGGCCCGCGAGTCCCCAGCATTGGCACAGTAGAGACGCTGCTCCTTGATCAGCACCACCACGGCAGTGGAGCCGGCTATCTGCTGCTGCCAGGATCCATTCTGTATGATCTCCTTGTCAAAATCAAGGAACCCACTCTTCAAGGCCCCCACCACGGCGTTGTCAAAGTACTCTCGTCGCTTGGTAATGAACTGGTGCAGATGAAGTCCGGCAAATTTGGCCACTGCAGCACCGCCATGTCCATCGTATACCCCGAAGAAGGAGGCAGTGGGGTCCTCCGGCAGCGAGAGGATGATGGTGTCGGCGTCCTCCATTTCGGTGCGCCAGCCCTGCATGCTGCTGGATCCCACGCGGAAGACACTGTTCTCGCAATCAACCGTGTTCTTGGTGGTCACCGGCTTCGACAGTGTCTGCCCCATTATGTACTTCAGAAAGGAAGAAGCCATTACACAACCCGGAGCATCATTTGCGATCTCTGCTACAATGGATTCTATACTCACTGGTTTTCTAGTGTTAGTTGTCCTTTTTTCTGAGTCGAAAATCGTTAGCCAAAGAAAAGATTTTTTGTACTTTTTGCGACTGCGGTCTGTAGTATTTGGCAGACTGAATCGGCAGGCCAGGAATAATTTTCACAGGGCTATGGCTTTTAATGAAAAGCCTACTATGCCCTAAGCCTCAGCATTAATTATTATTTAGAAGAAGAGTTTGGGCAGGACCTACCTTTGGAGAATCGAAGAATTCTTGGCTACTCAAAGTAGCTCCCTCTCTCTCTCTCTTTATGGGAATAAGTGAAGAAGTTGGACATCGAGGAATATATGTACTCTGGAAATAAAACAACAGACGTTCTATATAACTAATACAATTTACGGAATTTAGGGGAAAAATACGAAGTGTTCGTATACAAAATTTTGTAAAGAGGACTTTCAATATTTGAGGATGCTTAAGGAGAAGCTCCTCCCCTTTGTCCTTGGTTAGTGCCTTGGCGCTTGCTTTGACTTACCCCCCTTTTTCCCATTGAATAAAAAAGGCTTTCTAATTTTGTTTTGATAATTTTGTGTTTTGTATTTGTTTGTTATTTCTTTGGTTTCTTTTTTTGCTTTGTTTTTCTTTTCTTTTGTATTAATTTTTTTTTATATAAGTTTTTTCCCCTTTTTTTGATAGCGTTTGTTTTCATATACACAAATACATATACATATATATAGTATATATATATATAGTATATATTTTGTTGATATACACTTATCGTGTATGTATGTATATATATTCTTGTTCATTTAATATATAGACATTGATTTGTAATTGGTTTTTGTTGCGGTTGCTTTTTGCTGTTGCTGTTGCTTTTTGCTCTTTGCTGTAGATTACTACACGTTGTTTATCCTTTTAGGCATATGTACGAGAGTATGTTATTTATCATAATTTGTTGTACGGCTATGCATCCGTATCTATGTTTGTGTGTTTGTGTGTGTGTGTGTATCTGTGGCTGTGTCTATGTCTGTGTCTCCCTCTGGTTGTGTCTCTGTGTGATGCTTAGATATAGGCATTTCTACATTCACAATTCTTAATTAAGTAATCCATTTCCTGGTTGTATATATTTCTCTTTAAAGTGTAAAGACACTAAATTTCACAATGTTCGATTTGTTTTTCTCTATTTCACTACAAAAAAGAGACAAGAGCCCCCTCCCACAGAAAACCCCTCGTGTGTGTATTTTTTGGGAGGGGAGGAGGGATATTTCCAAGCCCAGAATCAGCCGAAAATCAATTGGAGGGGAACTCGAATTCCCCAATCCATACCCATTCCCATTCCCATTCCCATTCCCATACCCATACCCATAACCCCCCGGGGGACAAAAGTTTTGTTCGGTTAGTGGTTGTATCTTCTATGTTTTGAATGTTCTATGTGTTTTTTGTTTTTGTTTGTTTATTTGTGTCTTTGAGTATGTAAATAATTTACGAAAATGTCTGGTTTATATATATATATATATATATATCGATCGTATGTATACATATATAATATCTATATAGATATAGACGTATTATAAAATCTCTAAACAGCCATAAAAGTCAAAAGTTCTTATCATATCTATCAATTATCTAGACGCGTTTACACTTTACTTCCACTCTACTAAGTTTGACGACGACGACTCGTTTTAACTGGAGCTTACATCTGGAGTTTATTATCTCTATCTTTGAAATCGGAACTCGATTGTTATAGGTTTGCTTATCTGTTGGTTTGGGAAGGAGGGAACTATACATAAATACAAATGTTGCGGCTCATTGCTTCGATTTTTGTTTGGTTTGGTTTGGTTTGGTTTTGTTTGGGTTTCTTTGGTCTCGATACAATCATTCCTCTACGATTACTTGTATTCGACAAATTAGCTGGCCTTCTCTGATCCAAAGGTACGCATATCTGATTACGACACAGACACATATATATGTATATAGTACATATACACATATTCGTGTATATATATGTATATAGTATTTTGATTCGCATAAAACTAAACGCTAATATCGATAGCCTTATCAATTACAATGCTAAATGTATCGGTGTGCTTGGTTTTTGATATAAGTTTTTTGAATTTCATGTTCATTTCCGTTTTCCTTATGCCTAAAAAAGAGATGGACACCAAGCAAAAACATTCAGTACACATTCATAGGGATACGAGTAGAATACGAAAAACTTTGATTGAAGTACGATTAGAGTTGTGTTGTGGTTGAGTTGGAGTCGTGTGGAGGGAGGTTGGTGAATATTTGTTGAGTAGATGGTGATTTCTGGGTGAATTGTTGATCCACTATTGGTGTATTGTTGATGAAGTGTTGGTGATTCGTTGGTGAGTTTCCCGATTGGTTGGCAATACAACTTTCAAGTTCTCC